GCTGAAACACCCCTTGCCCTTCCCATATAAAGGCTAAGCTGCTCCCTGACCCACCTTGTTCTGTGCTGGACGCTTTGCTAAGAGATCAGGACACCCGGAGCACCATGGCCCTTTCCGTGCGCACCAGTGCTGGATCCCGGCAGTTCTCTTCTCGGAGCGGACTCGGCGGGGGATCTCTGAGAATGTCTACTGCTGGGGGTGGAGGAGGCTTTGGTGGCAGCGGGCTTGGGTTTGGTGTTGGATCTGGGGGAGGTTTCGGTGCTGCTTCTATGCTTGGTTCCGGCCCTGGCTTCAGTGGGGGTTTTGGGAGTAGCTCAGTTGGAGGCTTTGGGAGCGGCTTAAGCAGTGGCTTTGGTGGAGGCTTTGGAAGCAGTTTAGGTGGTAGCTATGGAGGTGGCTTGGGCAGTGCTTTTGGTGGAGGTTTAGGAAGTGGTTTTGGTGGCAGCTCAGGTGCTGGTTTTGGAGGTGGCTTTGGCACTATTGGTGCTGGGGATGCTGGCCTCATTTCTGGCTCAAAAAAAGAAACTATGCAGAACCTCAATGACCGTCTTGCTGCTTATCTGGACAAAGTCCGATCTCTGGAGGACGCCAACACTGAGCTGGAGCGCAAGATCCGCGAGTGGTATGAGAAAAACGGCCCTGGCACTGGTGTCCCTGGATCTGGGAATGACTATAGCAAATATTCCCCTATAATTGAAGATCTTCGAAACAAGGTAGCAGAGCAATGTACTTATTTTATATCTGTGATTCAGCTAATAATATTTTGGATTAAAATAACAAATTCCTTTCATAAACCAAAAGCAAATGCTTTCTACAGCACCAAGGCTCCCAACCCCTGTCAGACCGCACTGGGATCATGTGTTCAAGATTCCCTGCATATTAACAGTAGCTCTGTAGCTGAATCACATGATTCTGTGTAGATTACAAAATTTAAATTTTAGTAAGTTTCATATTTTTTACATCACAAATTAAATCCCTGAAACAGACAGACCACCTGGCAAGGTCTGCTGAGATTATAAACTACCCAGTCAGAGAACATGAAGAGGTGTTCAGCCATTGCGTGACACGTGTTGATTTGCAGAAGCTGAAAATCTGTCCTATATATTGCTATAGTAAATGATACAAGATTCTAACAAATTACATTTAATATTATAATCGTATTTAGGATTACAGTTATGTAAATAGCTAGTTGAGCTGCAAAGCCATTGGGTTATAAAATCATTCTGTCAACATTGTTTGTATTCCAGATCATTAATGCAACTATCGACAACGCAAGGATCATTTTGCAGGTTGATAATGCCAGATTGGCTGCTGATGATTTCAGATTGAAGTAAGTACATCTTCATACTATAAAACCTCTTATGAAGATTTTAAAGAAAAATTTCTTGTGTTGAAAAAAATCTCTTTCCTCGCAGAACATTTTAATATAATTATTAAACAATATTACAAGAATTATGTATATTAAGATCTCATATTAAAAGCTCTGAAAGTCCACAGTAATAGTTTGCATTTGACCTCATTAACCACATTAAAAAATCATATGAAATTACTTTCTTCACAGATATGAGAATGAAGTGGCTCTTCGCCAGAGTGTAGAAGCTGACATCAACGGTCTGCGCAGAGTTCTTGATGAGCTGACCCTGACCAGAGCTGATCTGGAGATGCAGATTGAAAGCCTGAATGAAGAACTGGCTTATCTCAAGAAGAATCATGAAGAGGTTTGGTTTTGGGGGGAGTTTTGTGAATTTATAACAAGGCAGATGGAATTGTGAAATAACAAGTTATTCTCTTAGTTATACCAGTGGGAGTTCCTCTGTTTCATTATTTGTTTTGTTTGCTGTAACCTCTTTTGAGGTTACTAAGTGAAAGAGTGAAAGCAACACATACACAAGCTTCAGATTGTTGTTGAAACAGAACTTAGAGCACATGTTTTTCTTTACATCTCTTTGTTAGAATTATTTTGCCTTTTATTAACAGAAACTTTATTTTATATCTCTCCAGGAACTTCAGGGTATCCAAAGCAGTACATTTGGCCAAGTCAGCGTTGAAATGGATGCTGCTCCAGGAACTGACCTGACCAAGCTTTTGAATGACATGAGGGCACAGTATGAAGTCATTGCTGAGCAAAACCGCAAAGAGGCTGAAGCATGGTTCAATGAAAAAGTAAGGGACAGCAAATTCAGCAAAATGCATGTAAAAATCACTTAAATATTTGGAACAGTAAAATTACACTCTATTCTTCCATGTCATTTCAGAGTGGGGAGCTGAAGAGGGAAATCTCCACTAATACTGAGCAGCTTCAGTCAGGAAAGAGCGAGATCACCGATTTAAAACGGACTCTCCAGAGCCTGGATATTGAACTGCAATCTCAGCTTGCCATGGTATGTTCAAAGGAAGCTGCTAACTACTCAAAGTGCATTTTCCAGCTTACAAAGTGTTGCTAGACTTTAAACTATTCTATAGAAGTTAAGATTTGCATTTATTTCCTATTCTAGCATTCTTTAATTTCCTAAACAGCAATAATATATATAATGAATTGCAAGTAGCACATTATAAAGCAGATGAACTTTTATGTTCACATTCAGTGAAGTAGCAAAGGCCAGTTTCCAGACTGGTATTTCAAGAAAAAAACAAACAAACAAACAACAACAAAAAAATCTCTAAATAACAAGGCTATACTTAACTCCTGTTAAATTACTTCAGCTGGTTTTGTCTTTATTAATAATTTAGTTTTCCTCAATCAGATATTTAATATCTTTTCTACACAGAAAAAATCCCTTGAAGACACTTTAGCAGAAACAGAAGGAGGTTACTGTGCTCAGCTTTCACAAATGCAACTTCAGATTGGGAATCTGGAGTCACAGCTGTTTCAGGTCAGGGCTGACATGGAGCGCCAGAACGCAGAGTATCAACAACTTCTAGACATCAAGACTCGCCTGGAAATGGAGATTGAAACCTACCGCCGCTTGCTGGATGGCGAGTTTGTGTAAGTAACTAACTTACTTAAAGTCTCGCCTTTGGTTCATTTTCTGTAGCAACATCCTTTCCAGGAAGAGGTAAAAACAAGGGGCACATTCACCAAAGGACAGGAAGGCACATAAAATGGTTCTGAAATAATAATAAGAGCTATTCTCTGCCTGAGGAGAATGAGCCGTTCTGTTCTGTACTGAAACTAATACAATTCCTCCTAATTCTGACAAACGTTCTGCAATATTACATGTCTCTGATTCACTTTTAGGAGTGCAGGACAGGGAGTTACATTTGAAAGTTCATCCTTGACGGGGTCAAAATCACAGACACAATCGCTGGATTCTTCTCAGGGTAGGTAGAATTTGACTGAATACAATGTGGTTTCTAATGTCATTCTTATAAATAAAAGAATACATGCTATTCTGTTTAGCTATATCGTAGAGTTCATCACAACAATAAGCCAATTTGAAAGGAAAAGGATGGCACTTCATGTACGTGTGCTGCTCTGTTTTATAATGTTTAGCACTTTAACAGATAATTTTTGTTTTGTTTATGATGTTTAGATCCTACCAAAACTAGAAAGATCAAGACAATTGTTGAAGAAGTAGTAGATGGAAAAGTTGTTGCATCCCACGTTAAAGAAGTTGAAGAACAGATATAAGGCACAACCTGACATTGCAAAGGATGTTCACCCCATGGTTCTTTCAAAGCTGAAATGGATACATAATTTTGTTCTTTTGTATGAAGTGATAAAAATAGATTGGCTTTTTACTAAGATTCTTTTATATACAACAAAGCCTGCATTTGCATGCTTAGCAGTCATGCAATATATTTTCTGCTTCACTTTATTGCTATACCTGCATTATTTTCACATTTTAATATATTATTACTTCTTTGTTCAAGAGCAAGAAAGATGGTGCATACATTAGGTATTTAATTAGATATGCTTTTTATTATTTTAAGCAATTAATAGATAAAATAATGTTGCTATTCTAACCTCATTTTCCATTTTTCTCGACTAATAAAAAGGACTCAACAAGCTTTAAGATATTAGTCTCCATTCTTCAGCTGGGACTGCTGCTCCTGATCTGTACGTGCAATGTTGTTGGGTATCTTGCTTTATCGTAGTCCCTCATTGATTTAAATAAATTAATCCAATGATAGAACACATACATGTTAAAAAATGTATGAATGTGGGATTAATTAGCACTTGCTAACTTCTACTTTAAAGCTATCCACTTAAGAGAGAAGTTCTTGCAGACAGAACACCCCATAGCCAAGCTGGCAGCTGCAGTGGCACAGAAGTGACACACCAGGGTCTGGTGGCTCCATGTCCCGTGGTGCCACCTGCTGGGAGCCCCAGATTAATTTCTGGACACTAGACAGCCTTGATTTGGCTTGATGTAGACAGATGTTCCAGTCCCAGGGAACTGAAAGCAAACTGTAAACAACCAGTATTGCAAAGAAAAAGGAAGATTAATAATTACCTTTCAAGTTCTTACTTGCTTACATAAATAGGCTTTTCTATTAATGCTTATACTGTCCTGAGGTATAATATCTTATGTTTGATGAATTCCTAATGCTTCCATGATGTAACTTATAACACCAATGAAAAGCACTGTCAATATTTTGGTTATAAAAGTAGAACAACCAAGAGACTTGCAGAAAAGGTAGGGGACAACAAAACACTCTCATCTCAGTCCAGGTCAGCTGAGAAACAGCCAACTAAGAAAAATAAAATTAGAACACAGGATCCTTTTACATGTGCCAGTGGACAGAGCCAGGAATAAGGAAGCCTTATGCACACAAGGAGACTTTTAAGTGGTACAATACTTTGACTTCTAAAAAGACAAGTGTCTTGTAAAAGTTTACTGCCTTTTTTTTCTCCTCATTTTACTGCCATTTTAGTGCCTAAAAATATTAATTTATTGCCTATCTAGTGATTTATTTATTTTTTGTCAAAATCTGAATTTTTTTACTAAGTATCTGGTATTGCACATTCCTGAAAAAACTTAGAGAAATGGTTAAAAGCTGTTCTTAGCAAACCAGATCATTGGGATTGTACAGTAGCTACAGTGAGCCAGGAAATTAAGAATTATTGGCAGAAAATACAGCTCAGCAGACAGCCTGCTCTACAAAGCTCCCTGGTAGCTGTCAGGAAAGGTATGAGAACAATCTGCACATTCTGTGAACTGACTCCACTGACACACAGCAGAGAGGCTATAAACACCTTCAGAGACAACCCAGACACATTCTGACAGCAGTTCACTATGTGTGAAGTGTTAGTTCACCAGAACTTTGAAGAAGGGGGGCCAATCCCCTTGCCAGAAGGTGAACATGTGTTCCTACCACTGGTAGTGCTGGTTCTTCTCCCTCTTTTTGTGTTTCTGCCCCTAAAACATGTTGGGTGAGGGGATGTCCAGGAGCAGAGCTCTTCTTCACTTGGGACAGTCCTCAACACTATCTCAAGTCAGCCACCTGAGGCTTTGCCTGGCCAAGCCTTCAAAACCTTCAAGAATGGAAATCCTGCAGCACCCCTAACTAACCTATCCCTGTGCTGCACAGTGCCTGGTGAAGGCCCATTCCAGGAGCACTGCCAACACAGGTAGGACTGCTGGCGAGCTCTTCCCTTCCCCTCTGTGATTGCACTCTCATGCTGTGCAGCTGTAATTTTGTCCTTCACTTTGTATCTCTTCATCTCCCATTTTTCAGGTTATAAAAGCACACAGTTACACTGTAACAGAAACCTAAAGACATTGTGTCTATCCGTCCCAGCACATAACTGAGGAATCACGACTGCAATCGCTGCAAATTGACAGATTTTTATTAAACTTGCTTTTACAAACGATGGGAAGCCTCTGACCTTCCAATGCTTCCTCAGAAATGAAGCTCTGCAGCTTTAAAATCTGCCTTTCCTGCCTCTCTGCTCTCACTGCGGGCAGGGAAGGCTCTGCAGCAGCCGGCTCACCCTATCAATGAGGTTCGGGGAGCCAAGGTGGAGGATGGGAGGAGAATGGAACTGTCCCAGCTCCTCCGTGAGATCAGGGCAAAGTATGAAACGCTCATCTCCAGAAATCAGATAAAGACCCTCATCTCAGCAAGGACCCAGGTAATGCCTCCACACAGACAGACACCTTCCAGAGTAAGGAGACAATCCCTGTCTGTACAATTCCTCCCTCAGCCTCTATGAGGTACAGTATTTCCTTTTCAATGCAGCATATTATCGGGGAAGGGCTTTTGATTTTACTGCAGTAAGATGTGAACTAGAAGATACGGCAATAGATTTTGTCTAGGGTATGAAATTCACACTAAACTAATGCTGTGTAATTCATCTGGATGCTTTTCTGTACCTGCAGAAGTGATAATGTTGCGATTTAAAAAATGATGACAAATGCTGTAACATGGTAACCTCTAGCACCGTGTAGTTATCACAGAGGAAAAGAGAAGCTTGAAAATCAAAGGCAATTGAAATAATCCATTTAAATACTGAAAGCTTTACCATTTTTAGTACCTATATTAATGGTAAAGAAAACTGTACCTTTTCAGGAACTATTTTATATTGCTCACAGTAAAACTATGTCATACAATTTGTTCTGTCATACAAATGTATTAAATGTTATCAACACACAACGCTACTATTATAGATTTACATAAAAACATCTGTAAAACCCAACTGAACTTTGAAATAACATGGCAAAACAATTTTTGGCCATCAAATGTCAAGAAATTCAGGGTGAAAATTAGTTATTATATCACTCTGTTGTGCTAAGGTATTGCAGAAATTCTGGGTTGTTTTTTTTTAACCTCAGGCCAGACAACTGCTGCAATCTGCCTGATCTACACAAAATCCAATGACACACTAGAGCTATAAGCTAGATAGTTAAGCCAGCTTTATATTTGTGTTTGGCACAAAGCAGCCCATGTGTATTGACAGAATCTTGTCACATAAATTCTGCAGTACACAGGCAAAAAGGGATAAGCAATGACTATTGAGTGTTCACTTCTGGATTACCCAAATCTAGTTTTTCACCTAAAGGATGGCATGCTAAAATTGCTCTAGGTCAGTATGTTATATAGGAGAAAAAGAAACTTAATAAGACCTGAATGAAAATTTGTTTCCTTAGAGTTGATGGCATCATAAGAACCTACATAAAGCAGTAAAATATGCAAAAGACCCTGTATTGTTTCAAATGCTTATGGCTTCTTCACCACTTGCAGTGAAACTCAGAATCAAAAAGGAAAAGTAACTCAGAAGCAAAAAAAATTCTGGAAGTTAAAAGCAGGAACATGTTATGTAAGTCAAAGATGAGCCCAAACCTAACATGACCCCACACATGCTCAGGGTTGGCTTAAAAACACTGCTTTTAATGTTATTTAAAAAAAAAAAAAAAAAAAGGCGCAACAAAACAAACAAACAAGAAAACATTTTCTTGCAAACTTACAGTGCTTGTTCGACTATTAACTTTTCTTCTAAAAATAAGCTTTAGCCTTAAGGATGGCAAATTATCTCAAGTAATATTTTAGATCAGGATTAAAAATATTTAAATATTAAAATACATTATAAACAAAGAACTTTCTTCAAACCCTGAAGCTTGAACTGACTGCAATTCTCACTACCATGAAGTTGAGCCCACTGATTGACTCTAGAGGTGACAAGATCTCAATACAACCAGTTAATTTTTATAGGAATTCCTCTACAAGAAATACATATTAGGGATAAAGATATGGCCAACTGCTTCCCATCAGCCCCAGCAGGAAAAGAGCTGCCCATCTACACTACACATAAAACATTAACACATTGCTACTGGCTTTAACAAACTTCTATGCCTAAAAAAATTCCAACTAGAGATTTGTACATATCTGTTTTCATTTTTTGACAATTTTAAAATATCATTATCTGTTTTATATACCCTGTAGCTAGAAGAAGCCACCATTAAAAGAATGGACAAAGATGCAGAAGCATTAAAGGCAGCCAGAGCAGAACTCTCTGAAGCCAGACGGCAGTGGCACCATATGCAGATCGAAATTGAATCTCTCCACGCTGTGGTAAGCATCAGGAAACACAACTGGAAAAATTTCTCCAGGGCAAAATAAACCTTTTTCTTGATGTAAGCTCTTCCACTATTCAGTTTATGTCACATCCACTCTACAGCAAAGTACAACACAGAAGTGCATAGCTTTGTGCTGGACTTTCAGCTTAACACCCAGAGCACAAACCACAACCAGTCATTTGCTCACGTTTCAGTGTCACGTTTTGATCCAGGATCTGCCACTCAATACACACATTTTCATGTCTTCACATCCGTCAAACATATATTTGCATGATCCTCCTTCATCAAGTTCCTGGTCATTCTGCCTAATTAATCCAGATCAGGTTTATAACTTTCTTTGAATGTAAAGACCAAATTTATTAATTAATGATAAAATATGTCAACGATGTGGTGAATTCGGTAAAGCAGATAAGCTGCAAGAGCACCCAGAGCACACAGTTTTCATAGGATACTGAGCTGGACATCGTTTTAACCATACAGGCAAAATTAGAGGTGTGTAAAATCAATGGCAGTGGATTGCTGGTACAACAGGTGGCTACATTTTTTTATCCTATCTTAAATTACTACAAACTTCACTGGAAGATTTCTCAGCAAAAACATTATCTTGAAAGCTTTGCTCCTGCTCCTAAAGATATACTTTAAAAACTGATGTAAAAATACACAGATGATTAATGAAAAGTACCTGTAACATCTTGACACATATACTTTCCAAATCATAAAATCTGAGTTAAATTCACAGGAAAAGGGTTTGGAGCGTTCACTGCGTGCCACAGAGCAGCAGTACCACATGCAGCTACAACATTTAGAGGCTGAGATTGAATGCTTAGAGAAGGAGCTACTGGATGTGAGAAGAGGTATTGAGAAGCAGCTTCAAGAGCATGAAATTCTCCTGAACACCAGGATGAAACTGGAGGAGGAGATAGCAACGTATCGCAGCCTGCTTGAGCAAGAAGAGAACAGGTACTTGTTTAGAGAAAAAAGGCTCAAATTTCTCTTCCATTTCAGAACTTCTAATTGAAACAATAATCATATTTGTAAATCATTACAAAATTGCAGTATAAAATCCTGCAAAATGGCTTAATTTTACCCTTCCCAGAGTGTTAAGGCCCACACTGGGAAGGGTCTGCACATTAAGATGCTAAGGATACTACTACTGACATTTTGCCTTGGCTGTGACTCTCCCTGTCTGCCCTTTTCCTGGCACACCACCAGTATTGTGAAATGTAGACAAGAGAGGCAGCCACACAAGTATGAACAAGAAGGCAAAGCACCAGTCAGCACTGGTACTTTCACCAAACCAGGCACACGATTCTGAAACCACCCATTGAGTCTTTCTGAACTGAACTTTCTCCAGCTCTACACTCAAAACATGAAATCCTAACAAGCAGTTACTAGAACCAAACAGAACCTCCCATGGTTCTCCTATTTTTCATACCTGTTCATAGGACAAGTTTTGGCTTAAAGTAATTCAGTGTTACTAGATTACTGCAATAATATTTTTTTGCAGGTTTCGTTGCCCTGCACCTGACCAGCCAGATGACAAAAAGCCTACCACGAGCAAGATTGCCTTTACACTGCCTTCAAGTGAGTCTTTAGATACTTTCAATTTAGGGGATTAAGACCTAAAGGAGGTTCCTAACTACTAACAAATTGGATATTACAAAAGGAACTTCTTCTAATGCAGAAGGAGGAAAGATACCTCTAGGTCCTGTGCCCTGACCTTACTCTTCTGCATTCCTAGTATAGCTGGATTTTCTTTTACAGATAGTGTAAAGAAGCATGCAAGTGAGAAGATGGAACTGTTGACAAAACAAGCAATCCTAGATGGAAATATTATGAAGGAAAGCACTGAAGCTCACGGCACTGTACAGTAAGATAACAATGAAATTTACAAAATAACAATTGAAAGTAAATGGCATTATAGAGCATATAAGGGCATCATATTTCAGTGGCTTTATGTTTTCCTTTCTTTAGTGTCTGTTCTATCATGCCCATATAGCCAAGAAGCTCCGGAATAGCAGTGATGGTTCAAGTTTGTTGAATGGCATGTTTTAACACTACATTACACTTTTAAATTTTTTTTATCAGCATTTACTTCATGAGCTAACAATATTGTGATTTTGCTTCCGATTTGTAATTTCTGTTTCTGTTAAGAATGAAACTATGAATAATTTATTCAGTCAAGGCTGAAAGCAGAAGGGCCCCTCTGGGGCATATTTATGTACATAATTCAGGCTTAGCTGCTCTGACTTGCTGTTTGGATACTCCTGTGTTTCACCAAACAGGGAATGGAGAGCTAGGCTCCTAGGTGTGCATGTGAAAGTCTGTTAGTAGGTATTATTCACCTCAAATTACTTTAATTATACTGGATTGCCTAATTATTTATTTTTTTTCAGTTGCTCTTGAAGCTCTTTTGTAGATCAACATTTCATTTTACATATAAAAGAAGCTGTAGCACAGCACATCACTAAATTGCAGTCAGTTGATGAAAACATGTAGAAATTTTGATTAAAAATTAACGTAATCATATGATCCACCATACACATCCTATATATGAAACTTATTTTCATACATGAGCTTTGCTGAGCTCACACAGTCAGTATGATTTGCTCCTTGGCTGGGGACAGTTCACTGCCTGAGTAAAGTCCCCAGGGGAGGACTTTTAGATCTGGATCCTAACACATACTTAGAGGATTCAATCAATAGGATTTGGCTGGGTTTAAAATTCTCTGTATTTTAAATTAAAAAAAAAAGAAAAGAAGAGCAGAAGTAATGTAGATCACCACTTTGAGGTTTGGGTCTGAACTAGATTCTTCTCCTCCTTGTTGTGACGAGTTTCAGACGCAGGAATTCCATCCTGCCCACTACAGTGCAGAGGGTTCTTGCAAAGTTTCTGAGCTTAGGTTCCAAATCCTCTCCTTGGAAACAAACTGCCTGCTGTGTTTGGAGCAGTAGTTTTGTATCCATGTCTACTTAAGAGTACAAGAACAAGAGTACAGTGAACCCTTACTCATTATTTAGCTTTTCTAAAGAATGAACCTCTTGAGAAAAAGAAAACTCTAGTGTCTAACCTGTCTAAAATAACTTGACACTTTCTTACGCAGTTTCTCTCTACATTTTAAAAGCAGTCCTGAGGACAGACACTTCATATTGCCTGAAGGATCATAAATACATTTGCTTTACTGTTTCAGGACAGAAAAAGTAGATGAAGTTATCAAAGAATGGGAAGGTTCTTTCTTTAAGGACAACCCTCGCTTAAGGAAAAAATCTGTTTCGTTGCGCTTTGATCTCCACCTGGCAGCCACTGAGGAGGGATGTTTACACACTAAAAAGAAAACTCTTCCTGACATTGAAGTCAGGCTGGTAATGAGGAGATCCTGCAGTATTCCTTCTATCAAACCTTAACCTTCGCCAAATTCACCCAACGTTCATCTCCAGCCAGCTCTGGAAATAAACTGCAGATGGACTTATACAGCCTCCGGTCTCGCCACAACCAGGAAATCTTCCCAAGTACTTTGATTAACACAATAAAAACACACAAATCTTTAAAGGAAAGAGAGAAGAGCAAAGGAGTTATGATTCCAAGAAGAGTAACTTCTACTAATTTTGTACTCTGGGTGCCGCCCTTTAATTTTCTCATTATTATTGTTTTTGTAGAATTTCACCAAATTTTACAAAAATTAAAGTGTAACTTTATACTTTGACATCGTCTGCCTTCTAGAAGAGAACTTGTTTTCTCTTTTTGGAAACAACAAATGCTAATTTCATTTTCTTAATTATTCAATATTGCATACACATAATGATGAATCTTTGTAATAGTTTATACCACAACTGCCATAATTCTTGAAATATATTTTAAAATAACACTTTCTAACAGCAAAAGTTACATACAAAGATGCTCTTAGAAACTATTAGCAAATTTAAAATTTTCTTTTACAAGCAGCTGGTATTTTTAAGTTGTGGGTTTTTTGGCAACAACTGAGCAAAAATGTCTTTCCCTTACATCATGAAACAGACATTTTTTAAAATGTTGCTACAAACCAATAATACTTTAGCCATACTGTTCCACTGATTTTTAAGCAGTAATTTCCACTGAAAATCAACCATTCTCTTAAATATCCACACATATCTGTACTGCAACCTTCCTAGCCATAGCAAGTAAAATTATACTCATTACTTGGTAAGGAGACAACCAATCATTTTAATTATGTTATTTAATTAATGTTGTTTATTATAACAATCAACAAATTCCTCTTCTGACAAATAATACATGTGAGTTATATTCTTGATCTATTACACATAACAAGTCACTATCATGCCAGGTTACAACTATTATTCCTTTAAATTAAATGGACAAAATAAGGGCTACACATAGAAAGTAAAATTCTGCTATATCCATTAAGTGTATCCCACTTCTACTCTAAGTAACTATGGGCAAATACAAAGTACAGCAGATGTTCTTGTGTCTGTGCACAGAAAAAGTAGAAATCCAAACTCAGACATACTTCTTCATAACATTATGAAACAAATTTCAAACAAAAATTCAGACAAGTTTGTATTAAGAACAACAGTTTGTGAGGATTTTTAAGAGGCAGGGATGTCACAAACTAATGGAAATCCCTGGGATTGCAGGGGCTCAGAATCTAGAAAAAACACATACCATATTTTCTGGACTCAGCAGCATGTAGAAGTTAAATTAAAGTGTCGGTATTTGCCTCATTAATTACAGCGTATGTTACAAAAACTAATCCTACAGATTCTTTCAGTGCTACATTTCACTTCTATCTTTTGTTAAAGGCAGGAACAAGGTGTTTATATTGCCCACAGTTCTATATCTACTGTATGAAGCTGCTAATTATAATTAACCTTAATACTGATCTGCTGTTGTTAATACTTGAGTATTTGGCATCCTGAATGTATTCGCCTGCTCTAGTATTTTCACTATGCAGCTTTTTTTTGTGTGCTTCTACTCTGTACAGTTTACAATACTTGAATTTAAACTAAGTTCTAATGGCTTCAAGGCACTTTAAACAGGGATACGAATTTACCAAAGTAAATTATAGCACTACAATAAAAAAAGTAATAAAATGGAGCTTGCCCATGCATGTTTTGTGAGTTTTAATGTGTATATGTTAAAAGGAAAGAAGTAACAAAGAAATACAAAATAGAAGTTGTAGATAAGAAAATCTGTAGTGCTGCAAAACCATGTGTTTTCTAAGCTCTCCTCTGCAAGAGGAAGGGCACGAATTCCCTAAGAATCTTTATCATAACATGTAAGGTGAGTGTCCTCCTGCTACAAAAATTACTCTTTTACTGGCAAATCCAGCAACCTCGACTAGATCTAAAGTCCTTTCTTCCAAGCAGTACAAAGAAAGAACAGAAGACAGCATCTGGCATACAAATATTGCAGTATGAAAGATAAGCTGACAGGCAAAGATAAATAGCAGGTAAATATGTAACAGAAACTGAACTTAATAGAGATACCTTTAAAACTCCTCAGGCAGCCTCCCTCATGCAGGTAGAGCCTGCACAGGCATATAAAAATTACTGTACAAATACATGGAAGGAGTTGCTACCTCTACAGTAAACAGAAATGGAATAACCTGACTCACAGACACACTTTTTCCTTAACCAGGGGGTGTCTGGCTTATTCTTCGACCTACAGTATTTCTTGGGGTATTATCTTCTGCACTGTAACTTTAGAACACATACCTGACTCCACCTTGCAATACAACCTCCTTGGTATTGTAGAATCATAGAATCCTAGGGGTTGGAAGGGACCTTGAAAGATCATCTAGTCCAACCCTCCTGCCAGAGCAGGGTCACCCAGAGCACATCACACAGGAACTCGTCCAGGCGGGTTTTGACTGCCTCCAGTGAAGGAGACTCCACAACGTCTCTGGGCAGCCCGTTCCAGTGCTCTGTCACTCAAAAACTACTGCGTATCTACAGCAAAGATTGTCTGAAATACTAAGTAACTACAAAAAATGTTCTTATTCACCTATGTTGTTTGATCCATAAAACAGCCTGACCTCACAGTTTCTGAAGCCATCTCCCTGACCCCAGTGACAGCTTAAGCACATCCTGAGCTGCTCTGTGACGAAATGTATCCCACCCAGAGAAGGTGCCATTGTTTAACACCAAACTCGGCTGCTCCTGACATACACAGCCTGTGTTTTAAGTTGGAAAGAACTGCCATAAACCCCATTACACTGTTTTATGATCATAAAACCTGATGCTCTAAGGAAAAAAAAAAGAAAACTGAAAAGACCACACCTGATTTTGCTAAGACAAGACTCCTGCGTGTTCAAGGCTATTTTCTTCAGGTGAGACTTCTGACACTGATTTCATTAGCTGCATTAAGAACTGCTGCTGCTCTAGACCTGGTTCAGGTGTGAATCCTCATGTTAACTACACGTCCTCCCCTTCCAGGCCATATATTTATTTTACATTGCTCCCAAATTACACATCCTGAGATGTAAAGAGCTTTACTCTTTTGTTCATAAACAGCTCGAACTTCCACTAGTTTAGGCCACATGTGAACTCCACATGGCCTTGGGAAAAAGAGATATTCACAATAACATCTCACTGTGATTTTAAGTCATTTTAAAGCTGAATTAAAAAATGCAACACTGAAGCCTGATAATATGGCAAAGAACTCTTCACATCTGTGCTAATTAAATTCCAATCAGCTGAGCTACTGCCATCCAACACCTGCAAATGTCCAACATAACAAGTTTCATTGTCTCAACCTCCTTTCTAATGAACATATGTCCTCATTGCAAAACTTACGAAACTGCTAATTAAAATAGTTGGCTAAGAGCAGGTTATTTAGAGCCTCCTGGTTAGTACAATGCAGTATAAACAATCCTATTAAATCAGTAAAACTACTTATGTCATACAGTATATTAGAAGATGTACACAGGCAAAATCTTTCACTATCACAACATCGAAACTGGGCAAACAGTAAAGTAAAACAATAAAATAAAACCAAGGAACACATTAATGACTTTGAAAACACATAAAACGGATGATTCAGAACCATTAGCATAGAAAGTATCAGTAAATGTTCTTGGACATTGTAAGAAGTATTTCAAAAAGCTATGCAAGCTTATAACTTACTTTAACTTTGTCAACATTAAATGCATTTTAACACTATCAACAAAACCATATTATTAATAGGAATAAATGCATTAAACAGTCAAAACCAGGGGAAAAAATAGAGGTTACTTTTCCCCTCTTAAAAAGTACTTTCTCACCTTTTCAAACATTCTGTCCAGGTGAAAACTGTAGACTAGAGAGGTGTGCTGGCTGGCTGAGGAATCTTTTAAATTCCTACATTCTTTTAATTATCAAATATAAATCACAGGTTCTGTGCTGCATATCAACAACTTCCATGTGGCCACAGAGAGCAGCACACTGCAAGCAGATGAGGGCAGAATTCTTGTCTATTTACTGGTTCATAAAAATGTCCTTAAGAACAAAAGCTCACCAGACTAGGTGAACTGTGGGCATCAGGAAGAAATGGGCCTAACTTGCAGAATCCTGGTATATTGAGGTGCTCTTTCTTCTTCTCATCTTCTACCTTCCTTTTGGGTTTGGTAGGTACAATCTGTTTGTCTTTAGATGCCACATTCACCAGATCCACCAAAATCCTCCTTTGGAGTGTCTAGAAAGTTATTTAATTAAACCACGAGACCATTTCAATGCCAAACTTTCTTCTTTTTTAATTCATCCACTTTCAACAACTTTAATTGTGTAAAAGACTTCTATGTGAGGCAGAATGTGAGGCCTGAAATCCTTCCTCGGGCTCTGAGAGCCACATGGTGTTACTGTTTGGCATTTACAAGCTTTTTACCTCTGTGAGTGAAACCTTCCTAAGTTTCAGCAACAGTTTCAGACATTCCCACTGCTGCCACCAGAGTCTGTAATTCATAATCCTCTGCGACAAAGCGTCTGTTGGTCACATGTCGTTCAGCATTATCACCTATGAGGGCGATACCTCGTGTCTCTCGCA